TGGTTGGGGAAAAAACGGGGGGGGGGGGTGCTGGAGATCGCTAGGCGGGGCCTGGAGACCCTCCAGCCTCACAACAAGGGACCCGCAGGCTCCTTCCCCCGGAGACAAGGGCTGCTTGGGAGGCTGGACTCGGCGGCATCCCCGCCCACCCCGAATCGGTAGGGACCGCCGAAGCCCGAGTTGGCCACACTGCCCCGACCGCTGAGCCTGCAGCCACGCCCTCTGCCCCTGGGCCAATCAGCGGCCCGCATTCGGCCGCCGCCCATCTCCCCGCGGCTTTTGAGGGCGGCGTGGCCTGGGCGGGCGCCCCTCCTCTCCCCACTGGGCAGCCAGTCGGGGGCGGGGCCCAGCCGGAGGCTCCTCCTCCTCCTCCTCCTCCTCCTCGCCCGGTGGACGGCGGCGGCGGCGGCGGCGAGCAGGACTTGGCCCGAACGCCGGGTGAGTGGGCCGGCCGCCTAGCCAGCAGCCGCCGCCGCCGCCTTTCCTCGGGCCCCTCCAGTGGCCGGGAGTTCCGCGCGCGGCGGGAAGCGGCTCCCTCCCCGCGTGCTGGGCCGGGGCAGCGCAGGCCCCGTCGGTCCCCCGGGTTGGGCGGGCTGGCGTCGGGCTCCGGGGGTTCCGGGCCGGGCTCCCAAGCGAAGGGAGCGGAAGCCCCTCGCCCAGCTGCCCCCCGCCGGCAGGGACACCTCCCCGCCGGAGGCCGCCTGGGTCTCCTCCACTGGCCGCCCCTTTGCTCGGTCGCTTCCCTCCCCCCAGCCGCAATTTGAGCTGCGGCGTCGCCGAGTTTGCCCTCCCGGACCCTGGCAGGCGCCCAGGCCGGAGCGATCCATTTCAGGGACCCTGCCGCATCCTCTCACTGTGCAGGACAAGAGCACGGAATTAGCGCTCACCGGGACTTTCTGGCCTTTAGCACAGAGCCCAGCTTTCTCAGGGCTTCCTTCCTGATGTTGCCTGCAACCCCGGCAGAGGAAGACATTTATTCTAAATGGGAGTATTTTTATGAACAAGGGACTCTCGAGAGTCTTCTCCAGCACCATAGTTCAAAAGCATCTGTTCTTCAGCGCTCGGCCTTCCTTATAGTCCAACTCTCGCAGCCATACATGACTACTGGGAATACCATTGCTTTGACCATGCGGACTTTTGTTGGCAGGGTGATGTCTCTACTTTTTATCATGCTGTTGAGGTTCGCCATCGCTTTCCTCCCAAGGAGCAGGCGTCTTTTAATTTCATGGCTGCAGTCACAGTCTGCGGTGATCTGGGATCCCAGGAACGTGAAGTCTGTCACTACTTCCACGACTTCCCCTTCTATTTGCCAAGGAGTGATGGGGCCGGATGCCATGATCTTAGTTTTTTTGATGTTGAGGTTCAAGCCCAGTTTTGCGCTCTCCTCTTTTATCCTGAGCAAGAGGCTCTTTAGGTCCTCTTCACTTTCTGCCATCAGTGTGGTATCATCTGCATATCTGAGGTTGTTGATCTTTTCCCCAGCAATCTTAATTCCCACTTGTGATTCATCCAGGCCAGCATTTCGCATGATGTACTCTGCATATGTATTAAATAAGCAAGGTGACAATATACATCCTTGTCGTACTCCTTTTCCTATGCTAAACCAATCAGTTGTTCCATATCTGGTTAGGAGGTGGGAAATCTCTGATTCCCAAGGCAATAAACAGAGGGACGGCTATTTTAAAAGCATATTTTAGGAAGTCTGCTTTCCGGCAGCAAAAGTTTTACCTGATAACTGAAGAAGTACAGGTTTAGTTCAGCACCTACCGATTTAACACCAGTTTGAGTCCAAATACTCCAAAGAGCTTATTTGAAATACCTCAGTCAACTTCCTTCTTGAAACCTCCATCACCTCTGCCCCATCTAGGGATTGAGGGGGGCAGATTCTTGTCGAAGTTCTCCAAAGAGGGCGGCACTTGTTTACCTCTGAGGAACCTCCAGGAGTGGGGGGCCCTTTATTCTCCCTCCCGTTTGACCAGCTGAATGTGGTTTGTAAAGAATCCCTAAACAAGCATCTTCACTTCTTCTTAGAGATGTAAAATTTCTGGAAATTTTGAAGCTCGGAAAAAAACCCGGGTTTTTTCGGGGGGAAACGGAAATTTTCGGCAAAATTGAAAAAAATGCTACATTAGCATTTCTTTTGTCTTTTCTAGATTGAAAGTCATTCTGTTACTTTAGGAACATAAAATATGACTATGGACATTTTTACTTGGCATGAAATTATCACAACTAGCATATTAAAAATATAGCGTATCCAAACAATTATTACAAACAGAATACCCATCCACATGCAAAAACAAAACTGAAACTTTTTTATTTTCTTCTGACAATCGCACCTCCTAAAGGAAGAAATGCATCTTGTTCTTGCACTGGAGAGTTCACTTTGTAACCTAGGACTTGCTTGTCCTCAGTGCACAGAAATTAGATCAATCTGATACCATATATATATATTTTAGAAATGATTTGGAAAATATTTGAACACCTTGTCTTAAAATATTTTACTCATCATATTAAAATAAAACGTTCCATAATCAATTTTTTCCCTTTTATTTTTTCAATTTTTCAGAAAAAAACAAAAAGGCTTCAGGAAAAAAAAAGAAAGAAAAAACACGTTTTCCCTCCGAATTTTTCCGGTTTTTTCCGGGCCTTCACATCTCTACTTCTTCTACATGAAGAGAATTAATCTACCACACATGTCTAAGGAAACTGACTCGGCAGACGACAATCTTGGTTTTGTCGTAGTTGATTAGGAACTTATTTTAAATATGTACACCCTGGTTGTAATCATAAAGGACTCAACGCCTGCTAGATTTTTAGCCAACTGTTTCTCATCCTTCCCAGCCCAGGGCTGCAACTTCCTGATATATTCTTTGTACATAGGACTCCCAGGGTGTCAAACTTGGGGCCTCGTTTGCCATGGGATCACGTGCTCTGTCTTCATTTTCCTGTAACCATTCTGTATCTGGGCTATTGGGGGGAGCAGTGGTGAGTGTGTGGATGTGTGTTTGAGAACCTGCTGTTTTCTTAGGGGCCTCCCGTATGGGAAGAATGTGAAAGTTCTTGAAGGCCTGTCTCTGCTAGCCGGCCATTGTAAATAATGAAACTGTTAGGTTGGCGGGTGGGGTGGGGGAGCATGCGCTGGTAATGTGTTGGTATAATTGGATGGGTCATGGGGGGGGGGGGTGTTTGAATCATGTATGATACCAGAACTGGTGCCAACTTGGTCAGTTCTGACACAGATGGTCTCTACCTGACACAACTACATATCTCTAAGCAGATCACTAGAAGACGAGTGTTGTTGAGAGTGAGTTTGTGCGAGGGTCTGACAAAGGGTGGCAAACCTGATGGGTTTCTCTCTCTTGCCTTTGCAGTCCCAGGTCACCATGGCCAGCCTGAGGCGCGGGGTCCGTGTAGCCTCTTCTCTCCGGCCCCTGTTGTCTAGGCGAACGGTCCGATTTTTCAGCCACGCACCAAGCCAGACGTCGGAAAAGAACGTCCCGTATCAGAAGACTCTGAAGGAAAGCGGCCCCCAAGGGAAAGGGCCCACCCAGCCACTCCCTGCCTCAGCAGACGTGGTGGTGGTCGGGGGAGGCAGTGTGGGATGCCAGACTGTCTATCACCTTGCGAAGATTGGGGTGACCAACGTCGTCTTACTCGAGAGGGATCGATTGACTTCTGGGACCACCTGGCACACAGCAGGTCAAAGGGTGCAGTGATATTAGTGCAGAGGGGAGGCGTGCTGGGAACCGGGGGCGGGTCCCTTTTTCGTCTTTCTGGGAGGCCAGCCACCCTTGGGTGCGAAGGGGACCAAGTGATGGTGGATGTTGGGGTGGGCGGGGAAGGATGGGGTGGAGCGCGGGAGGCAGAGGCGAAGCACTACCCAAGGGAGGTCCTCCTGCGGTGCATTCCAGGTCCTGCCAGGTGGTGCTTCTGTCCCTTGAGGGCTTCTGAGGTGGTGTCCTAGAGAAGCCCGGTACAGTTCCCCACCTGCTCTAGAAGGCCCAGCTGCATGAGCGGAACGTGACTGGGGTCTCTGCCCAGGAATTAAGAGTGCCCTCCTAAGTATCCCACCAATCCAAGAAGCTCCTGTGGCGGGCAGAGAAGAGAGGGCCTTCTCAGTGGCAGCTCCACAGTTCTGGAACAGCCTACTCCGCAGGAGGTGCGCCTGGCCCTCTCCCTGTTGATCTGCAGGAGGCAGCTGAAGACAGTTTTACTTGGGACCGCATTGGACTAATTTAGATCCAGGTGGGCGGCCATGTCGGTCTGAAGCAGTAGAACAAAGTTTGAGTCCAGGGACACCTAGAAGACCAACAAAGTTTAATTCTGTGTCTAAGCTTTCGTGTGCTTGCAACAAAGTTTAATTCTGGGTCTAAGCCACTGGCTCCCAAAGTGGTCAATGCCGCCCCCTGGGGGGCGCTGGAACGATCCAGGTGGGCGGTAGGAGCCTTGGGTGCAGTTGGGGGGCATTGAATAAAACTAAGGAGGCCGTGGAAGCATAAAGAAAGAAGAGCCCAGAACCTATCTAAAGCAGCCTTTTTCTGCCTTCTCCTGGTCTTCCCTGGGATCAAGGAGGGAGGTGGAGGTGGAGCCTGCTGGGCTATTGTGTGGCGGTTGCTTCTGGCCTCTGGCTTCAGGCCAACAACATCTTTCTTTACTCTGTGCAAATTTGTCACTGCATCTTTTTGTCCACTTCTTGAAGGTAGATTTCCAGGGGGGCGCTGAGTAATTTTTTTTCTGAAAAGGGGGCGGTAGGCCAAATAAGTTTGGGAACCTCTGGTCTAAGCTTTGTGTGCTTGCAACAAAGTTTAATTCTGGGTCTAAGCTTTTGTGTGCTTGCAACAAAGTTTAATTCTGAGTCTAAGCTTTCGTGTGCTTGCAACAAAGTTTAATTCTGGGTCTAAGCTTTCATGTGCTTGCAACAAAGTTTAATTCTGGGTCTAAGCTTTCGTGTGCTTGCAACAAAGTTTAATTCTGGGTCTAAGCTTTCGTGTGCTTGCAACAAAGTTTAATTCTGGGTCTAAGCTTTTATGTGCTTGCAACAAAGGTTGACTCTCAGTATAAGAGTTGGAAGGGGCCATACAGGCCATCTAGTCCAACCCCCTCTGCTCAATGCAGGATCGGCCTAGAGCATCCCTGACACGTGTTTGTTCAGCTGCTGCTTAAAGACTGCCGGGGAGGGGGAGCTCATCACCTCCCTAGGCAGCTGTTTCCATTGTTGCACAATTCTTACTGTAAAGATATTTTTCCTAATATCCAAATATCCAGCCGGTACCTTCCCGCCTTTAATTTAAACCCCTTCTTGTGAGTCCTATCCTCTGCTGCCAACAGGAACAGCTAATACTTAAGGAGCAATCATGTCTCCCTCAACCTCTTCTCCAGACTGAACATCCCTAAGTCCCTCAGCCTTTCCTCATTGGCCTTGGTCTCCAGACCCCTGATCATCCTCGTCACTCTCCTCTGCACCCACTCCATTCTGTCCACATCCTTTTTAAAGTGAGGACTCCAGAATTGCACACAGTACTCCAGGTGTGGCCTGACCAACGCAGTGTACAGCAGGACTCTGACATCTTGTGATTTGGATGTGATGCCTCTGTTGATATACCCCAAGATCCCATTAGCCTTTTTTGTTTCTGCATCACACTGGCTGCTCATATTTATTTATTTATTCAATTTCTATACCGCTCGATCCCGGAGGCTCTGAGCGGTTTACATAGGCATATTATACTTCCTATCTAGGGCCACAATGTCTATAGGGGAGGTGAGTGCCTACCAGGCACCGCTTGTTCTCTCTTCTTCCTGTGGCTTTCGTGGTGGGTTCTATCTCGGTGCGGCTCCGCAGCGGCTCCTTCTGGGTTGGTTCCATAGTCCGCGACTGTGTGACAACTGCTGCACCGGCCACTGTCTGATTGGCTCCGGCCGCGTCTCTGGACCAGTCCCCGCCTGGAACGTCTGCAGCTTGATGTTGGTTTCGCCGCCATGTTCTTTTTGCCGGATCGCCGCCATCGTCTGCCACCACCACAGGTCTTCTTCGCCGCTACTGCGCCGGAAGGTGGGTGCCCCCTGCACCTAAGGCAGGTTCCCATTTATCTACTTGCCAGGCTTTCAAACCGCTTAACTTATGATCCTCCCATACCCCAAGATCTTGTTCACACACTGCTACCCAGAAGTGTATCCCCCATCCAGTATGCATGTTCCTCATTTTTGTTACCCAGATGTAGAACTCAGCACTTGTCCTTGTTAAATTGCATCTTGTTCACATCCGCCCACTTTTCTCATTGCATTCTTTCTCTGTCTTGTGGTGTGTTCATTGCTCTTTCCAATTTTGTGTCATCTGCAAATTCAATGAGTAGCCTCTCCAAACCCTCGTCCAGGTAATTTATAAAAATATTGAAAAGTACCGGGCCCACAAAAAGTACCATGGGCACACGAAAGCTTATACCCAGAATTAAACTTTGTTGGTCTTTAAGGTGCCACTGGATACTAAGTTTTTCTTTATTGGCAGTCCTAATTGAGATTTTAAATTGTGGTCTTGTATGTGTTTTTTATAATTACTGTTTTGTTTACATTGTAAGCTGCGTGGTATGCTAAAGGCAGCTAAAAGATTTTTTAAATAAAAAAGAGGTAGGTTCTCTTTAAATTTAAATTTTGTGTTTGAAATGTGATTGCTGAAATTTGAGTGGTGGGCCATTTTGGATATTGGTCAACATGTGCATCAGCCTTCACCCTGTTCCATCATACAGTCCGTTCTTATCCATTTTCTAGAGCCCAAGGAATTTGGATGGCTACTGGTAGTTTGTGCCAGCTGTGCTGAGAGGTCCGCCTCTTCTTGCCCTTGCCTTCAGGTCTCTTGTGGCAGCTGCGCCCCAGCGACGTGGAGGTTGAGCTTTTGGCTCACACCCGTGATGTGGTCAGCCGGGACTTGGAGCAAGAGACGGGCCTCCACACCGGATGGATTCAAAATGGAGGCCTCTTCATTGCCTCCAACAAGCAACGGTTGGATGAATACAAGCGACTCATGTCTGTAAGCAACGCCTTCCCAACCGAGTCCCGCTCTGGTTTGCACCTGGGGCATGTCCTGCAGTGACCCGAGCAAGGATCTTCTTGCTGCTCTTCTCTTGCTGTGTCTCACTCCAGGGTGTAAAATTGTCCTCTCGCATACAGCACAGGTGCCGTTTCCTCACGAACCCAGTCTTCCTGCCCTCATGTTTGGTGGTTTGGCTCTTTTTCTCCAGTTCTTCTGCAATCAGCGGGTCAGATTCTGTGGCACTCTGTCGGGTGCCAGCCAGGCCTTTTGAGGCTCTCCAGTGTCCTGCTTGGATGGAGCCCACCTTGGAGTGAGCCCAAGTGAACTCCCGTAGAGCTGGGCAGTCTGGGGAGGGATGGGCAGTGAGGGGGCCGGCTGTCTTTCGGAGCAGCAGACCCGCATTGCTTGTCCTCTCTACTGGCAAACCCCTGGCTACCCCAGGATCGCTCGAGACCCACTTTGGAGCTCAACTCAGTGCCAATGGGCTTGTTTATTCTACCTCTTTTGCAGCTTGGTAAAGTGTATGGTGTCGAGTCGTATGTCCTGTCCCCCGGGGAAACCAAGAGCTTGTATCCCTTGATGAATGTGGACGACCTCTACGGCACACTGTATGTCCCCAAGGACGGCACGATGGATCCTGCAGGCACCTGTACCTCCCTTGCCCGGGCAGCCACGGCCCGGGGGGCTCTGGTAACTGAGAAGACAGCCCTTGGATTAGTTTCCAGTAGGACCGCAATCAGATCAGTATTAGAAGAGGCCCAGCAGGCAAGAACCTGTGGTCACGTTTGCAGCTGGGGCGGAGCCGTGACTTCTTAGCAGCGGAGAGCCTGCTTGCCATGGGGGAAAGTGCTGGGTTAAAAGCATTTCAGGTAGAAGGTCTGGGAAGATCTGGGGGGGTCTCTTGCCAGTCTAGGCAGCCGTGGGCTGGAGAGACAGTGGTGGGTGGGCGGAGTAAGTGGGAGCTGCTTGGGAAGACTTGAGCAGGGAGAAGGCAGAGCTCCGTGAGCGAGGACTCGCCAAAGCCCCGTGCCCAGCGACAGCACCTAGTGGTGGTCCTAGAGGGCTTGGGTTCCCACTCTTTGTTTGGGTCCCTCTAAGATGGGAAACGTGCAGCTCATTTCTGTCTCTGCTCTTTCTAGATTATTGAGAACTGCCCAGTGACTGGTGTTGAGGTTAGAACAGATGACCTGGGCGTACGGCGGGTGGCAGCTGTGGTGACAAGCCACGGTACTATCCAGACATCCTGCATGGTGAATTGCGCAGGTAGGAAAAGCTGAAGAAATGTGCTGTCCACTGTTACAGGATCTCTGGCCTTGTTCACAGAGGCAGGACCCAGGGGCACGTTGCATCCGACAGGTTGTCCCGGGGTAATGACCCCTTTCCGGGCCGCCTGCTTCTGACATTATCCAGATCACTGGTGAAATGGGGGAAATCATAGCTCCTTGCTCAAAAGTTTAAAAATTCCCCTGCGTATCCAGATCCAGTGGGTCAGGTTAGGCTACAGCTAGAGATGTGAAGGCCCTGGAAGAGCACAGGGAAAATGGGGGACATTTTCAGTGTTGCCAATTGAAATAAGAAATTTGGAGGAGTCCGGGGGGGGGTGGGGTGGAACCCTCCTGTAAATGTTTTTTTTTTATTATTTTGGAGTGAATAAAAGGCTTTTTAAGACAAGGACTTATTCAAAATGAGTAGTGTGAAGTTCTTTATATAAAACAACCAGTCTGCAATGTTAGAACATTTCCTGTGCATGTTGTAGAAATGCACAATATTTTCAACGCTATATTGTATAAACGTGACTACTATTGTCTACAGTTAATAGGTTATAATGTGTATGATGATGATATACCATTGGAAAATTGAATGGTTTCAATGTGTCGTAATGCTTCAGTCAATATCCAGACGTGCTGTTGTGATTGTGTGAAACTACTTATATGCCAACAGTGCTGTTTCTTTCACTTACTACAAAATTTGTTTTCTGTCTGCAGCTTATATTATTTTTTAAATTATTTCTCAGATGGCAAAAACTGAGATCCATTTCCTCTAAGGTAGCATCGGGTGCAGCAGTTAAATAAATTTGGTACATTCACAGTTTTTGCTTGTCATAAAAGAAAGTATTTATAAGTTTAAATTTTATAAATATGGCGAACAGGCAGCACAGTTTTATCTGCTGAGTATTAAAATCACACATTTCATGTTGTCAAAATTGGTGAAGCAGCTCTAGATTCAGATCTTTTATATGTTCAGTTTTTCTTAACTGCCATTTTTCCCTGACAATTTTTTTAAAAAACATCTGGAAGTGTTACATATCTAGCTGCAGCCCTTCTCTCCAAAGTGCCTGTTACCGATATGCAGGGATCTCTCCCTTCCTCCCTCCCTCCCTCTCTCTCTGTGTCTTTTTTTAACATGGAGCCCCCTTGGCTTGGCACAGCCTTAGAGGACGAGGCTCCCATTTCCAGCCACAGAGCCAGGCCTGCTATCTGCCAGCTGCACCTGGTGAGCAGAGGTAGACTGCCCCTGAACATAGAGCTTCCACAGGGTTAGCATAACTGATCACTGTTGGATAAGCCCATCCTGGATGAGTTTATTAAGGCATCTAAACTGATGGCCCATCTTCAGTTTCATAAACTAGTTTTAAGTCTTGTGGGAAGAAGGGCTTCCTTTGCATGTGCTGGACTGGCTGCCCAGATCTTCACCTGCGCTCAGAGGTCTAGCCCTGGGTTGGATTGCTTTCCCTTTAAAAGTTGGCTCAGAAGTGGGAATTCCAGCCATTGTGGTTCTTCCCATCACAAAGTTACAGTGAGAAGAAGAAAAGAAAAGCCCTGTTGGATCAGACCAGGGGTCCACGTAGTCCAGCAGCTGGTTCCACTCAGTGGCGAACCAGTTGTCCTGGAGGGCCAGCGAGCAGGTCATGGGAGGCGAAGGTCTTCCCCTGGAATTGCCGCCAGGGGTTTATTCCCTCTGAATGTGAGGATTCCTTTCGTTTCGGTGGCTAGTAGCCACTGATGCACCTGTCCTCTGTGAATTCATCTAATTCCCTCTTTAAATGGTTGGATGCAGACTGAATTTTCCAGTGGTAGAACGGAACTTCCCTGCTGCTCCGGGGGGGGGGGGGGGGGGGGGGGGTCGGGGGGGGGGGGGGTGTAGGGGTTCCTGAATGACTTGGGGATGGGGTCTGCAGTCAGAAGGGGATCTGTGGAAATTGCCAGCTGAGTCTGGATCCAACCCAAATTTAATGACTAATTGAGTAAAGAGGTATTTCCTTTTGGCCCATCAACTTCATTGGGTGCCCCCAGGTTCTAGCAGTCTGGGAGATGGAAGAAAACGTTCCCTCTCTCTCTGTATTCTCCACCCCATGCACAGTTTTTGGTAGACCTCTCTCACGGGCCACCTTGGCTGCAACTGGCAGAACATTTTCCTTCCACACTTCTGTCAGAGAGCCTCCTTGAGGATCTGGCAGGCCTGCCATTCTGCAGTGAAAACAGGACCCTGCCAGGATCTCCCAAGGAATCCAGCTAGGCGGCTCTCCAGGCCACTTGGTCCAGTCTCTGCTCGAAGACCTCCAGCCGGGAAGAGCCCCTTCCCGAGGCCCACTGGCAGCCTGCTCTGGCTCTTAAGGAGCTTCTCCCAGCGTTCAACTGAGGCATCCTTTCCTTGAGGCGAAGGTCCGAGACCAAATTGTTCCCCTTTCCCACAGGACAGCCCTCTGGAGCAGACGGGGGGGGGGGGAGTGCAGGTCCAAAGCCTCTCTGAATACGGAGCTCGTGATAAACGTCCCGTTAATTCTGCAGATGGTACAGCATTTAATCTTGCAAGAGTAAAAGCAAATCTATGAGAGGGGGTGGTAAGATGGCTTAGATAGGATGGGTCACGAAGGAGGGATTCCCAGAGCTAGAGGAGAACATACACGCCTGGCGCGTGCAGCGGTCCTATCCCTATCCCAATGACTTCCTTTCGATCTGCTCTGTCTCCATGCTTCTTGCTGGGATATATTCTTGAGTGTTGATATCGGGAGGCCAGGGAGGTTCAGTTTCTTGTCTATTTGATTTAACGGGGTATTTCTATAATTATCCTCCTTTAGTCTGTAAATCAAACTCCCTGACGATGGACTAGAAAAGCAAACCTTCAGTCTTAATCTGAAAGCAGCCAGCCAAGCTCTAAGCTCGAGGATGGTTGCCACTCAAAGGTCGCCTTCCTTCTCTGGCAGGTGTGTGGGCCCAAGCCCTGGGGAAGATGGCCGGTGTCAACGTGCCCCTCGTGGCGATGCATCATGCCTACGTCGTGACAGAGAGGATAGAGGGCATCCAGGTTAGTGCACTGTCGGTGCTCTTTCATCACAGAGAAGCCTTTGCCGCCGCCATGTGTCAGTGATGTAGAAAGGAAGACCTGCTTCTGCTTTGCTTTGCACCAGTGAGGTGTGACTCCTGCGGTGTGTGCCATGCAGACAGGCCCCTCGGAGCCCCAAGGGCCAAGCAGCAGGATGGATACCCATTGCTGCATCTCTGCGTGATTCCCTGCTCTGGTGGGTCCTTTCCCATCCATCTGTTCTGGGGTTGGCTCACTGGCCGTGTCCCTGGATCATCTACTCACTTTGGATGCAGAGATGAAGTAGGCATTTGCCTTGTGGTTCTCCATGGGACTCCATGCTATATATAATTCGGTGATTATTTTTACCAACTTTTAAAACGTTATGCAATGCTGGGAGAAAACAGAAGTGCCATACCAATCACAGAGACAAAAACAGGCAAAAGAGCCAATGGCGTAACAAGAATATTTTATTCAGGTAAAACATTCCCTACATATTATCACAATGAATCTTTTTCAGGGGAATTTGTAATCTATAAGAGGTGCATTCCCATAATTAGAGTATGTATCATAAAAGTTATTTAAATTAACCAATGCAAGACATATTAATAATCAAACGTGCAGTTAACAAGGATTTAAAAGGTACTAATTAAACTGGTTAGTGCTTACTCCATTCTCTTGGTTGTATGTAAAGAGAAAAATTATCTGAAGACTAAAGAGACAAAATAACCAGCTTTGTGTCAGGCAAGTTCTGGTGTAAGAATAAAAGAATGTTTTTCTGGTTTTATAATTAACTAACCTCTCTTGAGAAACCTGTATAAGGGCCAAGAAGCGACAGTTAGAACCGGATATGGAACAACTGATTGGTTCAGCATAGGAAAAGGAGTACGACAAGGATGTATATTGTCACCTTGCTTATTTAATATATATGCAGAGTACATCATGTGAAATGCTGGCCTGGATGAATCACAAGCGGGAATTAAGATTGCTGGGGAAAAGATCAACAACCTCAGATATGCAGATGATACCACTCTAATGGCTGAAAGTGAAGAGGACCTAAAGAGCCTCTTGCTCAGGGTAAAAGAGGAGAGTGCAAAAGTGGGCTTGAAGCTCAACATCAAAAAAACTAAGATCACTCCTTGGCAAATAGAAGGGGAAGTCGTGGAAGTAGTGACAGACTTCACGTTCCTGGGATCCCAGATCACTGCAGACTGTGACTGCAGCCATGAAATCAAAAGACGCCTGCTCCTTGGGAGGAAAGCGATGGCGAACCTAAACAGCATGATAAAAAGTAGAGGCATCACCCTGCCAACAAAAGTCCGCATGATCAAAGCAATGGTATTCCTAGTAGTCATGTATGGCTGCGAGAGTCGGACTATAAGGAAGGCCGAGCGCTGAAGAATAGATTCTTTTGAACTATGGTGCTGGAGAAGACTCTTGAGAGTCCCTTGGACTGCAAGAAGATCAAATCAGTCCATCCTAAAAGAAATCAACCCTGACTGTTCCCTGGAAGGCCAGATAATGAAACTGAAGCTCAAATACTTTGGCCACCAAATGAGAAGGGAGCACTCACTGGAGAAGACCCTGATGCTGGGAAAGATTGAAGGTCAAAGAAGACGGGGACGGGAAAGGATGAGATGGTTAGACAGTGTCATCGATGCAACGAACATGAAATTGAGCCAACTTCAGAGGAAGGCGGAAGACAGGAGGGCCTGGCGGGAGATGGTCCATGGGGTCGCGAAGAGTCGGACTCGACTGTGCGACTGAACAACAACAACCTGCTGATTCTTCTGTGTTTTTACAGCAAGAATGCAAGATCTCACCAAACAACTAACACTGATCTTGCATTCTTGCTGTACAGTTGATTTTTGTTTTACAGTTGATTTTTTAAATATACTTAGCATTGGTTAATTAAACAACTTTTACAATATGTACTTTAATTGTTGGAACTCACCTTTTATATCACCATTTCCTCTGAAGAAGCTGTACTGCAAAGCGTGTAGGGAACTCTTTAACTGAACAAAGTATTCTTCAATAGCACCACTGGTTCTTTGGCCTGTTTCTACCTCGGCAATGCCGGCGTCCTTAGGTTTGTGCCGGCGTCCTTAGGTTTGTGAGGCCAAGGCTATTGAATCCATCCCCCTCCCTTTGCTTTCCCATGAGAAATCACAACTCCCCAATCTGCTTCAGCCCTCACTGGAGAAAAGTTGTGCTCCCATCAGAAAATCGCCGTACAGCCAAAGACAACTTGGGATTTTCAGTGGGAGTAGTGAGCTGCGGTGGCTCAAGTGGTTAAGACGCTGAACTGCAGGCTGTGGAAGGTCGGTAGTTCAGCAGTTCGAGACCCGGGTGCCGCATGATGGAGTGAGCTCCCGTCTCTAGTTCCAGCTCCTGCCAACCTAGCAGTTCGAAAGCAAGAAATTGCAAGTAGATAAATAGGGACCACTTCTGTGGGAAGGTAACAGCGTTCCGTGCGCTTTGGTGTTTAGTCATGCCAGCCACATGACCACGGAAACGTCTTCGGACAGCGCTGGCTCTTCGGCTTTGAAACGGAGATGAGCACCGCAACCCTAGAGTCGGATTCAACTGGCTTTCAAGCAAGGGAACCTTTACCTTTACCTAGTGAGCTGAAGGGGAATTTTCTGTATTGATTTCATGAATCATTGAGCCTTTCTCATTGAGACTCCAGGCAGGCTGCAGAATGAAAACTGTATAATTAATACTACAAGCGATGCAAACAAAAATGGATTTCAGACTTAGAACACAAGATGAACATAACACAATACATACAACAGACAATGCAAGAATAAAACTGCCTGATTTTTCAGACATTAAAGTCAGAAACTGATACATCTTCTCCCTGTTAAAAAATTCGCTGTCTCAGCAGCTGCATTGTTGGCAATAAAATGCCAGTAAAAAGGGAGCGGGCCCTGGCTGTCAAGGGAATTTGCCACCCTCAGAGCCATCCAGTTTGGGCAGCAGAGTGTCGGCTTCTTTCCCTTTTCGTTCTCTGAAAGCTGCGTGGTTGAAACCAGCTTCTGGCCATAAGATTTCCTAAGCCGTCTCCTTCCTGCCGCACAGAAGAGGAACCTCCTTTTGGCCCTTTGGAGGGGGCAGGGTGTCTGGTTGTTCATGTTACATATTTGAATCTTTTGGATACATTTGGTTTATAGGATTTTAAAAAATACAAAAATCCTGTTCATCTCCAAGGATCTAGAACCTTTTCTTTTTCTTTTTTGGGAAAGGCTGCATGGAGAGAGATCACTCAGGAAAGCGTGGTCTCTCCACTATCCAGTTTTGCTGGTGACAGGAAAGTACATTCCTCCAACTGCCTCTAGATGTCCTTCAGTGTCCGCGTTAGTGCCGCTCCAACCAGATTCCCACCCATTGCAGTGGCAGTCAACTACAATTCAAGATCTGGGGTGTCTGCCTTTTTAAAAGGACAAAGTTTGCGTCCAGTGGCACCTTTAAGACCAACCAAGTCTTATTTACCTTTAAGACCAACCAAGGTAGAGAAAGAGGTACTTTTCTCCCTTTCTCACAATACAAGAACTCTTGGGCACTCCATGAAATTGCTGAGCGGTCGGGTTAGAACGGATAAAAGGAAGTACTTCTTCACCCAAAGAGTGATTAACACTTGGAATTCACTGCCACAGGAGGTGGCGGCGGCTACAAGCATGGACGGCTTCAAAAGGGAATTGGATAAGCATATGGAGCAGAGGTCCATCAGTGGCTATTAGCCACAAGGTATAGATAGGGACTCTGGGGCAAGTGATGCTCTGTCATCTTGGTGCTTGGGGGGGGGGTCAACAGTGGGAGGGCTTCTAATGTCCTGGCCCCACTGCTGGACCTCCTGATGGCCCCTGGTATTTCTGGCCACTGTGTGACATAGAGAGTTGGACTGGATGGGCCTTTGGCCTGATCCAACATTGGCGGCTCTTATGTTCTTATGTTCTTATTCAACGGGTGGGCTTTTGAGTGCACTCAACTTTGTCCTGCTGCTTCAGACCAACTGTCAGACTCCTGCAATAATCGGTTCCCAACAGCTGTCAATCAAAGAACTAAAGTTTATTGAGACTTAGAGAGTGTGCAGACATCTTAACCATTCCGTCATTCAAGGAGGCCTCCTGATGGCTTAAGGCCAGTCAGGGATCAGGTAGGAGCCCGCCAGAGTAACAGACGACCGTTCCCAGGAGAAAGACTGCACCAGGCACGGAAGGTCATACAGAGATGACAAAAACATATTGCAGAAATGAAGCTGGACATTCCAGAGTCACCCCCACTCCCATGGCAGCCAGGGCTGGAGAGAGGCCTAGCTGACACCAACCACCAGAATCTTCCTGTTTAAAAGTGCAGGAAATACTTCTGCAGTGCGCACACGGCAGAATGAGGCGTGACTGCCGGCTTTCTACTGTGGAGCTCAGCTGGGCCTCCAAGATTAATGTCTATGTCTGAGTTGTGAGCATTTGGGGAGGGTCTTTGGCCATCAAGAGCCAAGATCGTGCCTCCTGAAACCGCGTCATTTGCTGTCTCTTAAGTGGCTCGACCTCATCATCTGACCGTCTGACTGGCCACCCAACAGCAGATGGAGCTGGGTGTCATCTGCATACTGGTGACCCCCTAGCCCATGCCTTGGGGCAATCTGAGCAAGGGGGCACACATAGCTGTTAAATAATATCGGGGAAAGCACTGCCCCTTGGGGCACTCCACACACTAGCGGGTGCCTTTGGGACAGCTGCTCCCCTACGGTCACCCTTTGTCCCTGGCCCTGGAGAAACGAGGAAAGCCACTGCAAGGCAGACCCCTGGATCCCAGTGTCAGCGAGGCAGTGAGTCAGTAGTTGGTGGCCGACTGTGTCGAATGCTGCCGGCAGGTCTAGCAACACCTACGTGGTTGCTGATTGTCAGGGAGCAGCACCCTTTGGATCTCCCGTGAAAGAGGAGACCCCACAGTGGGGTGTAGCAGTTAAGATGTTGGGCTCAGAACTGGGAGACCCGGCTCAGATCTCCACTCCTGCCATGGACGCTCACTGGGTCACTCATGCTCAGCCTGAGCCACCTCACAGGGTTGTTGTGAAGAGAAAATGGAGGCGAGGAGAATTCTGTAAGCTGTTTGAGGAGAAAGGTGGGGTATAAATAGAGTAAATAAATAAACTGAGAAAACAAACAAAATAATGGTTCTGGAGAAGCAGTAGGTCAAGGAAATGATGACAGTGAAGAGGCCTGGAAAACAAGGATATTCTCAGCTTTGGAAGAACAAAAGAGCCCAGCTGCATCCTGTCCCACACCGTGGGCAACCAGTTCCTCCGCAGGGCCAGCAACAGGGCAAAGAGGGCTTGGCCTTCCTTTGCTGTTGCCTCCTGGCTCTGGGATTCTGAGGTTTACTGCCTCTGAACATGGAGGTTCCCTTCTCTACTCCATGAATCTGTGCTCGTGGCCAATCAGCTTCCTTGGATGTCCTTGAGTTCTAGTATTTTGGGAGAGGGAGAAAAAGTTCTGCTTATCATCCCTGCCTGCCCTGTGCATCATTTATAAACCTCTTTCATGTCCCCCAGTCCCTGGGAATGCCCTCTGTACCTGCTCAGGGGCATTTTCGCCCATTCTTACTCCAGAAGAGATTTGAGAGGCCCTCAAAAGAGCTCTTACCCCAGCTGTCAGATGAGTTCTGACCCTTTTTGAAAATGGGGGTGGGGGGCAAGAGAGAGTGGATTTTCTGAGACTCCACTCTTGTGGATTTCTGGCTGTAGCCGTTAGACAAGTTGGGTTTCCTCCCTTGGATGTGGCGGTGTTCCAGGACCCTGGAAACAGACTGCAAGATGAACCAGGAACGGCACCCTCTGTTTTGTTTTCACTTGTCCCTGGTGTAAACAGAATCCGCACATCTTCATTTCACCGTTAACCTGTTTCTTTGCCCAAACTTTTCCTATTAATTAATGTCCTGCACTTTTGGCAGAATTGATATTTGACTGCTTTGGTTGATTGAAGTGAGTACTGCAGTTTTTTGTACCCCTTCTTCCTGATCCCTCCCCCATAAACCGGGGGTACAGGTCAGCTGTTTTTACCCCTCACACGCCCAATCTGCAACTATGAAATAAAGCTGTTACATACACAATGGGAAGGGCATGGTACCCTGGAATTTCCACTGACCGAAATTGTAAAAAGCCTAGTGGCCGTGCACAGGATGAAAGATTGGTCCAATTGCACAAGACACATGAACTGAAGCACTCCATAGGAGCTGAGACTTGGGCAAAGGGCTCCTGAACCCAAAGGGCTCCTGAACCCAAAGGGCTCCTTAGCACTATGAAATGAAACACTGATGCCTTGGTAGAGAGCCGTGCTCCCCCCAAGACCAAAAACAATCTCCCTGGTGCCCAACTTGGTTTTCTGAGGTACGTTTTAGCCAACAGGGCATCTTCACTTCTTAAAATATAACCCACCCGAATGACAAATTGTAATTGGATTTCCAAAGGGCCATTCCACACATTCCATAGTGGCAAATGCGGGCTTACTACCAAGTATATTCTCACCTGGAATCAGCAGCCAAGCATCTCTGATACACGCATTTATAAACATTTGTTTGCGGCATTCTCCTGATGTGCTTTTAGACGTATGCTTAAAACCTTTTAGGTACCTACCTAAGCACATGCCATACATAGCTGTCTGAGAAAGCATTTTTTTCTCTCAGTCTTGCCCCAGTTCTGATGGCTTTCCTCTCTGGGTATTTTTAGAATATGCCAAACGTTCGAGATCACGATGCATCGGTGTATCTGCGTCTCCAAGGCGATGCCCTTTCTGTGGGTGGATATGAGTCAAATCCAGTCTTCTGGGAGGAGGTGAGTGGTGTTCCTAAGAAATTAAAAAGGTATTACTGGAAGGAGGGGAAAGCTCCCCGAACAAGGTTCTTTGAGTGAGCTTTGGCCCATTTGGCGGTCTCTGAGACTGCTGAAGAGGCCCCGAACCCAGCCCATTTAATGACGATCACTGAATGCTCCATCATATTCTTTGCAGAACTGGTGTCAGACAGGAAGCGGAGTCTTGCCTAGCCAGCCACCATGGGCAGTATGGGCTCTGCTCCCAAAGACCACTTTAGGCACAAGAGGAGGGAAGAGGCCATGGCTCAGTTGGTAGAGCATATACTTGGCATGCAGAAAGTCCCAGGTTCAGTCCCTGGCGTCTCCCCTGAAACGGCCAAGTGGTAGGTAGTGTGAAAGCCCCTTCACCGTGAGACCTCGGAAGTCTGCCACCAGTCTGACTAGACAGTACTGACTTTGGGGGGGGGGGGGGTCTGATTCGGCAGAAGGCAGCCTGATGTGAGCTGCATGTGAAGCAAGGGGGCGGGTGGGCATCAGCCGGTGATGTCTCTGGGTCGGCCAGGTCAGATCCCGGCTGTTGTCTGTCTTGCTTGGTCAACACAGCTGGCCCTCCCACCAACCACACGAAGGCCAGAAAGCAGCTGACCTCAGGGACGGGGGGCTGGTGGGTTTCATCTGATGTGTCCGTGCCCCCACTTATGGGGCACAGAGAGCCATGTTAGATCCTTGCTCCTCCATGGCTCGCTGCATAAAGTAATAACATCCAGTGCTCTGCAGGTGAGCAGCCGTTCATGGACACAGGAAGCCCCGCCCAGCGGCCGCCTGGAGCTACACAGGGTCTTGCCCTGCCCGTGGCCCATTTTAAGATGACAGCAGCCATATTCTGCTCGGGATGTGAACTGCTCTGCTCAGTGGGGGGGGGGGAATTAGAGGGAACATTGATAAGGCCCCTCTGTTCTGTAAGCTTCTTCAAACATGACTGCTTTGGGTTTTCCCCTGTGCTGGTGATGGGAACCCATTTTGTGCTGGTGTCGGCCACCTGTCCCCTGTGAAGAGGCTTCCAGTGTCGGCGTGCAAGGCACATGCTGGCTGGCTGCAGACTTGCTGCTGGCCCGGGATTTGTGGTGAGGCCCTCGAACAGACCTTTGCATGTGCCTGAAGGTCCAGGGGCCATTGATTTAGTTCAGGGGTGCCAAGACCATCCCTCTTCTTCTTGAGCAAAGGGCAGCTTGCTTGCCGCCCTCCTTGGTAGCCCTCATGGTAGCCAGGAGGAGTTGGCTTTATACCCCCCTGCCCGGCATAACCCGAAGCCATCGTTTCCCTGTGATCTTCTTCGTGGTCTCTGTGCAGTCCCACACGTGGCTTCTGCGCCTGCGCTTGAACCCGACCTCGGAGAACTACAAGAGCTAGCCTCTGAATTTTGGTGCGCTTCCTTCCCATGCTCTGGGGAGCAGACACCCACTGTGCATGTCTGGAGCGAGGGAGGAAACGCCCGCTGTGCTGGTCAGCCCTACCTGGTTGCGTCTCTTTGCTGAGCTGCCTCACAGGCCCTTTTCCTCCTCGTCTCTTTGTCATTTGTTCAACTTGTTTGTCTTCCTCTCTCACATTCATCTCTATAAAAAGAAGAAGAAGCCTTTTCTACCTTTCTGTGAGTTTGTGCCGCTCATCAGCATCCCCCCCACTCCTTCCCCTGGCCCCTGCTGGCGCATGGAAGGGAAAACTCGCCTCAAACGCTGCAGAAATTGTGAGGGTATAATCCCCACCACCGACGGGCACTCCCTGTGTCTTTTCTGTCTGGGCGAAACCCACAAACTGGACTCTTGTGCCCACTGCAGCAACTTTATGAAACAGGCTCGGAAGAACCGAGCTGTGAGACTGAAGAGCCACCTTTTGGAGGCCTCCCTATGCCCGGGGATGTCCCAGTCTTCCAGCTACAGAGCCTCGCCGCCTCCCCCAACTCTGAGGGGAGATTGGGCTACGTCGGCAGCCACTTCAGCCTCGGGGCCTCTGAAGCATAAGCCCGACAAACAATCCCTCGGCCTCGTCTCTGGACACGCTGAAACTGAAGAAGTCACACGAATCTAAGGACCAGTCGGTACCGACGCCTGCCATGGCCTCGAAGTCAACCCCGGCTTCTGTGCATCCGTTGGACTCTACGCCTGTGGACACGCAGACCACTGCTGTCATCGACTCCATCCACCATAGTAGCCATAGTAGCCCCCTCTTACTCAGGTGGTGCACGTTCCATCTTGATCCCCATCAGTGTGCAACTACCTGCCGTCAGACTTCCTCAAAGTCGAGATGGTTCATCGGGACACACCTTTACAGCCTGTGGAGATGCTGAGGATGTCCCTGTGACGTTGATTCCATCAAAGTCGATCCCGATCCATAACCCAGCACTGCTACCATTAGTTTCCAGTCTCCTATGCAGTTCCTTATGAAAGGTACTCCCATTATTTGTCGGAGTTACGATCCCCTTCCCCGTGGGAACGCCATACTCGGTCCCTTTGAGAGCACTATAGATCTCCATCCCATGTTTCATACTAAGACGGAGATCGCTACGCATGTCCTTATTCGTCGTACCCATCGGAAGACATTTTCATTCGCCTTCCTCGGGACCAAAGGCCTTTAATCTTTGGCTCACCGTACGCTCCCATCATCATCAAACCTCCGTCGGCTCTCCTACAGCCATGGTCTCTGTCCCCCCGGGGCCCTTAGTCAACACCCTGGCAGATCCTCCCATGTTGGCACCGACTGCACCAACTGACACCCTCAGTCTCTGGTCTTCAGCATCGGAACCGTCAGACATCGGGTCCAAAGGGTCGGATTCAGAAGCGGACGGGTCGCTCCGCACCTCTCCAGACTCCGACATAGTTAAGCCCGGTTCTCTCTCCCCCTTGGAGGGATCCAAAGCCTATCTTGAACTGGTCACTTGCATGGCCACTGCATTGAATACCCAACTCACCAATGATGCTCCTACAGTCACAGACTTGGTTCACAAGCTGGTGCAGTCAGATCTCCCACCAGCCTCCTTGCTTCCAATGCTCCCGGTCCACCTCGATGTCCTGCGACAAGCAGGGGATAAGCCCGCGTCTATTCCACTGACATCGAAGCACCTTGATTCACTGTACTCTGTACAACCATCGGATGCTAAATTCCTGGTTTCGCACCCAGCCCCGAACTTGGTGATAGTGCACTCTGCGTACAAATCCAAGCAAGGAAGGCACCCGACTCCACCGGACCAGGAGGGACACAAACTGGACACCCTTGGATGGAAAATGTACTCCGTTACCACTGAAACTGCCAAAATTCACAACTACCTAGCTTATTTCTCCACTTATTCTTTACACCTGTCAAACCAATTGCCTACGCTGATTACAGAACTACCTGAAGTGTCTCCGAAAACTGCCACTTCCCTCGTCAATGAGCTGTCCAGACTGACAAAGGAACAAATTAACACCATCTGCCATGCGGTATCCTGCTCCTCTAAAGCCATGGCTACTTCAGTTGCCCTTTGTTGTCACACATGGTTACGCTCCACCAATCTGCAACCTGACATAAAGTCAAAGGTAGATCTACCCTTTGACGGTGAAGGTGTTTCTCGCCACCACGGATGAGACTCACCAATGTGGATGATAGCCGCAAAAGAGCCCAAGCCCTGGAAGCCCAGTGGCCCCAAGCGTTCCAGGTCCCCCTGGCAATCGGACTACTGGAAGCACAAGGCGCCTCCCGCTAAGTAGCAGTACCAACGCAGACCCAAGGCTCCTTCTACCAAAAAGACTGCACCCCCCACGAAACAGTCTCTTTGACTCCCTCCAAAGTATACGGCGCTGCCCCCCATCAATAACTCCAGCCTGGGGGATGAGGTTTTGCCCCTTCATAGATGCCTGGGACTCTATCACCATGGACACCTGAGTTCTTACCATCATTTGTCTAGGGCACGCCATCAACTTTTCCTCATTCCCACAAGTCCCTCATTTCGTGGCTATTCCTCCTTCCAGCTTCCTTTACATGGAAGTTCAGGCTCTTTTAAACAAAGGAGCTATAGAGCCTGTCCCCCCCATCCCAACAACACCAGGGGTTCTACTCCCAATATTTCATCATTCCAAAGCAGGACGGAGGGAAGTGCCCCATCATGGACCTGCGGCAACTCAACCATTACATCGCGCCCAAAAAGTTTTGGATGATCACCCTCCAGTCTATTATTCCCCTGATACCCAAGGACGCTTGGCTGGCATTGCTCGATTTACAGGATGCCTACCTCCACATCACCATTCGTCCTGAGGCTCACGATGGGCCCTCATCACTACCAGTATGGGGTGCTCCCCTTTGGGATGGTGACTGCACCAAGAGTCTTTGCAAAATGCATGGCGGTAGTCACAGCTTTTTTCAGGCAACGTGGAATAACGGTGTTCCCTTACATCGATGATTGGTTGATGGTCTCCCACTCGCAACTTCAGCTCTGTCAGGACGTAGAGACCACACTCAGACTCTTGATTTCCCTGGGCCTCTGTGTGAACCTCCCCTAGTCCCACTTGACCCCTGTCCAGGACTTACAGTTCATAGGGGCACGGCTCTGTACCCCTTCGCAACGTGCTTTTCTCCCTCCAGACAGAGCCCTCGCTCTCACTCGTTGGCATCAGCTGTACTGTCCTCACCCACGCAACCAGCTCGGATGTTCCAACATCTTTTAGGGATGATGGCAGCAACCACCAGTGTACTGCTGTATGCCAGGCATCACATGCGGCAGCTTCAGTTGTGGTTCGTTTGAGCCTTCGGCCCTCTTCGCATGCACCAGACCTTACCCCTTACGGTGCCACCCAGCGTCCTACCATCTCTTCAGTGGTGGACCATAGAGGAGAATCTTTTGACCGGAATGCTTTTCTGTCTCCCTTCTCCGAGTGCTATTCCGACTCCTCCCTGTGGGGTTGGGGAGCCCACTGCAGGACACTAATGGCGCAAGGTCAGTGGTCCAACTCAGAACGCTCCCAGCACATCAGCTATCTGGAGCTCCTGGCAGTACATCAAGCCCTTCGGACGTTCCTTCCGGTTCTGCGCAATTGCCATGTGCAGATCAAGTCGGACAACATGGCTACCGTCTTCATATAAACAAACAGGGCAGGGCAGTATCTAAGAAGCTTTGCAATAAGGCCATGACCTTGTGGCATTGGTGCAAGATGCGGGACATACACCTTACTGCAGTGCATCTGCCAGGCATTCAGAACACTCAAGCGGGTTGTCTCAGCCGGATGCAGCTGGTAGAGCATGAGTGGTACCTGAATCCTCTTTACCTGCAACCAATCTTTCAAGAGTTCGGGTACCCCAAAATCGATGCCTTTGCGACACAGGACAATATGAAGTGTCAGAGTTTCTACAACCGTGGTCCCCCGTCAAAGTTCTCAAGGGGAGATGCATTCCTCCACCAGTGGAGGGGACATTTTTTCTACATGTTTCATTTCCACTCATCACCAGAACAATCCAAAAGATAACACTATAGTGGCCACGACAACCTTGGTTTGCAAGTCTTCTGAAATTGTCCCGTGCAACCTACCAATGTCTCCCTCCGGCGCCCAACCTGCTCCCCCAACATCAGGGCCGGATCCTCCATCACAATCCTGGGTTTCTCAAGGTGACTGCTTGGAGAATACTGCCTCCTGAGGTGCAATATGTTCTCCTGAATGCGAGGAAACTGGCCACTCATCGGTCCTATCAGGCAAAGTGGAAGCATTTCATTTCCTATGCTTCCAGTAAGGGAGAAGACCTATTATCCTTACCTATTATCCTCACCTACCTTGTTTCTCATAAATATTTGCAGGTATGGTTTTATATTGCTGGCTATGCGCTATAATAATAAATTCATTCATACCTTGTTTCTCTTCACCAGTCCGGTCTGGGCTACTCCTCACTAAAAGTCCACCTCTCCGCCATCTTTGCCTTTCACCACCCTATCGAGAGAAAGACTGTGTTCTCACACAATACCTCTAAGTCATCCTTGAAGGGCATGCTAAAGCTCCACCCCCTGTCAAGCCGCTCATTCCGGCATGGAGTTTGTCTCTTGTCCTCTCAAAACTGATGGGCAAGCCGTTAGAGCCTCTTGCAACTGTACAATCTTTTGTTGTGGAAAACAGCTCTTGCAACTCCACAATCTTTTGTTGTGGAAAACAGCTTTCCTGATAGCTGTCACTTTGGCTAAGAGGGCAAGTGACCTGTGTGGGTTGCGAGCCAATCCTCCTTACACTATTTTCCACAAAGACAAAGTGCTCCTCTGGACGGTCCCGTCTTTCCTACCCAAAGTGGTGTCGGCTTCTCACTTGTCCCAACCCATCGTCTTGCCTGCAATTCTGGTCACCACACCTTAAAAAGGATATTATAGCTTTGGAAAAAGTGCAGAAAAGAGCAACTCGAATGATAAAAGGGTTGGAACACTTTCCCTATGAGGAACGGTTAAGGCGCTTAGGGCTCTTTAGCTTGGAGAAACGACGACTGAGGGGTGACATGATTGAGGTTTATAAGATTATGCATGGGAAAGAGCAGGTAGAGAAAGAGGTACTTTTCTCCCTTTCTCACAATACAAGAACCCGTGGGCACTCCATGAAATTGCTGAGCGGTCGGGTTAGAACGGATAAAAGGAAGTACTTCTTCACCCAAAGAGTGATTAACACTTGGAATTCACTGCCACAGGAAGTGGTGGCAGCTACAAGCATGGACGGCTTCAAAAGGGAATTAGATAAGCATATGGAGCAGAGGTCCATCAGTGGCTATTAGCCACAAGGTATAGATAGGGACTCTGGGGCAAGTGATGCTCTGTCATCTTGGTGCTTGGGGGGGGTCAACAGTGGGAGGGCTTCTAATGTCCTGGCCCCACTGGTGGACCTCCTGATGGCACTGGTATTTCTGGCCACTGTGGGATACAGAGTGTTGGACTGGATGGGCCTTTGGCCTGATCCAACATTGGCATCTCTTATGTTCTTATGTTCTTATGTTCTTATGTTCTTTCCTAACCCGGCAGATGACGGCCAGAGGGCCCTTCACACATTAGATGTCCGCAGGGCACTCTCTTTCTACCTCTCGAGGACGTCCTCTTTTCTCCTCGTCTCCTTGTGGCCTATAGTAAACCCCGATTGGGATGTAGAATTTCCTTTCAGCACCTGTCAAAGTGGATTGCCTTGGCCATTCGGCTTCGTTATGAGCTGGCGAAGCAAACTTTGCCAGTCATGCTGAAAGCTCATTCCACTAGAGGTGTTTCTGCATCTTCAGCTTTCCTTGAGGGAGTGCCTCTGGAGGACATCTGCGCTGCCACTATGTGGCCCTCGCAAGACGACCTTTGTGACGCACTACGCCCTTGACATTTTGGCATGCCGTGATGCGTCCTTTGGCCAGTCGATGTGTCTTCCAGTGATGGCTGGTGTTCCTCTTCAATCAGGTAGGCTGCCTGTTTATATGCTCCGCACGCACCTTTTTTGCCTTATGTGTGGTATGTTCTCTCTCTCCAGTATGGAGATTCCTGCACCCACCATCTGGTCAGTTGAGCTCACTAAACACCCATGTGTGGGACGGCACAGTGACCACAAAGAAGTTAAATGGGTTGCTTACCTGTAACTGATGATCTTCGAATGGTCATCTGTGCAGTCACACCCACCCACCCAGCCTTCCCCACTGCTGGCATCTGTCAATGGCAAATTTCTCTCTCTCCTTTGGGACTTGCTAGCAGTGGTTGTAAGAAAACTGAGTGGGAGGGCGTTTCCTTCCTCGCTCCAGTGGGTGTCTGCTCCCCAGAGCGTGGGAAGGAAGCCTGCCAAAAATCAGAGGCTAGCTCTTGTAGCTCTCCGAGGTCGGGTTCGAGTGCAGGCGCAGAACCCGTGAGTGGGACTGCATGGATGACCACTCGAAGATCATCAGTTACAGGTGAGCAACCTGTTTTCCTTGCATTTCCTTCCCCCCAAATGCCATGAATCGAGGGGGCTCTCCTGTTCTCTACCCCCACCCTCTGAAGGACGTGGCAGCCTCACGAAATCATTTATTCCAATCACTTAAATGTGGGCTGCGTTATGTGCTAGTATTTCTGCCTGTTGAGAGAGAGAGAGAGAGAGAGAGAGAGAGAGAGAGAGAGAGAGAGAGAGAGAGCACAAAGCCCCTGATCCGGGAAGCACAGTCTTCAATATCTCTTCAAGGGTTGTTGGCAAAAAGAGCACATTTTGCAGCTCTCAAACTGCTAACGAGTATTACCTGCAATTCAGCAGGCCAGCAGGTTTGGCCACTCCTGGCCTTGTTGGTACAGTAATCCACTAGAGTTTTAGTTGATTGATCCATGGGGCCCAGTTTCAGCTGCTGAGGCTCCCACGGTGCAGTCCTACGGTAAGTTACACCCACCGAAGCCCATGGACTCCCCCTGGCTTAGACAAGCATTGCTTTGGATTGCACTGCTGGTCCCTACAGAACTGTCAGGACACAACCCTTGGTGACGTCCAGTTTCCCCCTTGCAGGTACCGGACGATTTTGCCTTTGGGCTCTTTGACCTGGACTGGGATGTGTTCACGCAGCACATCGAAGGTGCAGTCAACCGAGTCCCGGTGCTGGAGAGGACAGGGATTAAATCCACCGTCTGCGGTCCAGGTAAGGGCATTCAAGGCCCATCCATCAAGGACGCCCCCCTTGTAAAGCCCAGTGACAGATCCCTCCTTTGTCGCAAGTTTGCCACCCTTCCTCCCCCTTGACGCATGGCCTAGTTTGTGGTTGGTCCCTACAATATCCTTCCTGCGAGGTCGTTAAGAGCTCTTTGTAAAGCACCTTCTACCCAAGAAGTTCAGTTGGTGTCCAAGAGAAGCAGGGCCTCTTCTGCCGAGGCCCCGAGGCTGTAGAACAAACTCCTAGTTGAGGTTCAGCACTTTCCAGAAGCAATACAAAAGGGGGCTTTTAAAAAGAAAAGTATTTGGAAGCTGACACTACTGGCAGGATTGCCATCTTTATTCCCAGTTCGCACTCCAGTGCCTTTGCGTTTTATCACCCATTCGCAAGGAATGAGGCTCACCTCGGTGCCTGGCAGCATCTTCACTTGCTGACTGCTTCAGCTGAAGACACAGGAGCAGGCTGGGTGGTTTTTCTTCTGGCCAGTTGGCAACGCTGCTTCCTTTTTGGTGCCGTTTGCTGTTCAGTAGAATTGGATTTGTGTTTATTGAGGGTTTGGGGCAATGGTTGTGGTCTGGGGTTCTTTAAAATCGGGGTTTCATTGCTGTTGTGTAGATGTTAATTTGTGAACCACCTCAAGCATAGGAACGCAGTCTACAGTGAGTGAGTGTAAATGAGCCAGCTGGGAGCCTGTAGCTCCTGACCAGTGTGTGCAGACCAAAACAGGGTGGTGTGGATCGGGGCCTCGTGCATCCCAACTCAATGCAATGGCCTTGTGTGATGTGTGTTACTGTACTAGATGCTGGTGGCGCAGGCAGAGATACTGTCTCCTGTAGCCTCACACAGCACCCAGAGGCCATAAAATGTTATTTTCCCCAGTTCCCCAGACGCCTCCCATGCGTATGAATTTTTGAGCGATTGAGGGGGGGAGCAGAAGAAAACGCGATAGAAACTGTCTAGAAGTACTTACCCAAGTGAGGCCATGGGGTCAAGTGCACATTCAGAGACTTTAAAAAACTTTGTGAACGTAAACAAACGGAAGAAAAGATGGCGGGGAAGAGGGACAAAGAAAGACTTCTAAAAACGAAACCGGAGAGCCCAAAGCCGGAAACGACCAGTGAGACGGCAAAGGCTGTAGCTGACTACATGCGCCCTCTACTGGAACAAAAAAAGAACCCGTGTGTGAAAGGAAAAGATTGACTCTGTTCTGAAAGCTCAAGAATTCCTAAAGGAGCAGCTGGGAAGGTCAGAGGACGAGAAAAAAAGAAGAGGACAGCAGGTCCAGTGGCGAGCTGGAAACTGGTTCTTCTGGTGAGGACTCTCTGTCTGAGCAGGGGGCAGCAGCCCTGAAAAGTCCCTATAAGTTGCGGAAGAGGGAAAAGAAGAAGTAAAGGCTGAAGGACTCTGAATTGTGCCTTTGAGAACTTTGGTTTTTGGGGATGATTGGGGGTACTGTTACTAGACAGTTAAATATAAACTTTAAGGGTAAAAGGTTTTAAATGTTTGACTCAGTTTATAAAAGGAACAACGATGAGAAGACTTGATGTATCAAAGCTAGTTGGAGGATCTCCTTTCTTGGGTTTTTAATAGTAGTGGGTACTTTACTTTCTCTCGTATATGTAGTATTCCCCCTCCCTTTTTCTGTTGTAGTTTTTGTAGTTATAAAAAATCAATAAAAAATTCCCTCCGAGGGCTTAAAAAAAAAGAAAAAGAAAGGATCTCCTACTCTTGGGTTTTTAGTTAGTGTGGGTATCTTTCCTTTATCTTTAGATGTAGTCCCCCATCCTTTATTTTTTCGTTGTAGTTAATAGTCTTATGAAAAATAATAAAAATACCCTCTCGGGGGTTTCAAAAAAAAAAAATAGAAGCGATTACACTCCCAAATGCATACCAGGAAGAAACACAAAGAAGTGATCTGGATATTTTAGACTCTGACGACTGTTTGAAACCACTAGAAGACCTATCATGGTGGCAAAGAGCGCAAATAGAATCCAGGCTTACTAAAGATAAGAAAATTGGGTTCTATAAAAACTTACTAGAGATTGAAAAGATTATTATATCCACGGATTCAAAGCTCATACGAAGGCTTTATGTACTTTTACTTGATGATTTGATGTTGGAGGAGGTTGTAAAAGGGAATATGATTCAGTGGGCACAGAATATTGGGCATAACATTAATTTAGAGCAGTGGGAGCAAATATGGAAGAAAAATATCAAGATTACTAAAGCTATTCCATATAAAGAAAATGTTTATAAAATGTTTTATAGATGGTATGTAACACCTGAAAGGTTAGCTAAAATTGACCCAAAATGCTCGAATAAGTGCTGGAAATGTGAAAATAAATAAGGTTGGTACATTTTTCCATATGTGGTGGTATTGTGAAAGAACTAAAAAATATTGGATAATGGTACATGAAACTCTGCAAAAAATACTAGGTACAGTGGTACCATTTACACCAGAGGCTATGCTGCTGAATATACTACCTGAACATTCTAACAAAGATGATCGCTATATGATTGTTTTCCTCACTATGGTGGCCAGAATCTTATACTCAAAATATTGGAAATCACCAGAGATACCAACTAAACGAGAACTTGTAAACAAAGTACTAGAGGCTGCAGAACTGGACAAACTGACTCTATTGCTAAAAGGTGCAAAGGACTGAGCCCGTTCGCAGGGAGGGCAGGGTAAAAATGCAAAAAAAATATTTATTTATTTATGTATTTATTTATTTCAGAATACTTGGGTACGGTTCTATAACTGGTATGATACGTATATGTAGGCAAGTTAAGAATAGACTGAAATGAAATATATACTTAGATATATATACTATGTAATTTATGAGAGCACCAAATTTTATGTTAGTAATCTGTTTTTATTATGCTATTGTATGCATATTTTAATTCCGGCATGGCCGCTTGTTAGCCGCCCCGAGCTGATTTTGGATGGGGCGGGATATAAATCCCAAAGATAAATAAATAAATAAATAGATTGATAAAGATAGAGATAGACAGGTTACAACAATATTAGATTGAGGCAGTAATATAAATATCTGTTAAGAAATGTAAACAACCCCAGTATATGTATGTGTGTAATGTGTGTAAATGTCAACATGTTAATGTGTGTACTTTATGTGTGTATGTGTTATATATTTGAAAACCCTTAATAAAATTCTGCCTCTTTGAGGCAGTTTAAAATGATGATTCATTGTCATTGGTGACATTTTCATTGTCTGGACCCAGGGCAAAGAAGCCCTCGAGAGATTCCACCAGGCATTCCACAACTTCCACCCCACCATCAATCTAACAATGAATTACTCGACACAAGGAGTAAACTTCCTGGACACCACAGTACGAATACACGAGGGACGCCTAAGTACCACATTGTACCGGGAACCAACAGATCGGCAAACATATCTGTGTGCCTCCAGCTACCACCCCAACCACATCAAACAATCCATTGTCTATAGCCAAGCCCTACGCTATAGTCGCATCTGCTCCAACCCCTCAGGCAGAGATACTCACTTGAAGGACCTGCAACAGGCATTTTTGCAACTACAGTATCCTCCTGACATGGTGAGAAAGATGATTGGAAAAGCCAGAAAAATACCCAGGGACAGCTTGCTACATGACAAGTCCAAAGAAAACGACAACGGGACACCACTGGTGGTCCCCTACAGCTCACAACTCCAGCCAGCTCAACCCATTATTAACAACCTGCAGCCCATGCTGGAGAGTGACGCTTCCCTCACACAGGCACTGGGGGGTGGGGGTGACCTTTTCTGGCTTACAGACAGGCTGCTAACCCTAAAGCATCTTCTCATCCACAATGATAAATTACTGAGCAGTCATGTGGACTCTGGCACCAAGGCCTGCAACAAACCAAGATGCCAACTTTGCCCTCATGTAGATCCTAGCAGCACCATCCGTGGACCCAGCAACATCAGCCAGGTTCCTGCTCCTGCTCATCCTCTAATGTGATTGATGCCATCACGTGTCAACAATGTCCTTCTACCCTTTACATTGGACAAGCAGGCCAGACCCTATGACAAAGAATTAATGGACATAAGTGTGGCATTAGGAAGCTCCAGGACATTCAGTTGCTGACCTAAAACAACAGTTCTCTCACAAAGGAATTTCAAAGGAAAATTAGAAAGATTAGAAAGAGAGACTGCTGAATTGCAACTGATAACGAAACTCAAAACAATGCATCCACCTGGATTGAATCAAGACATAGGTTTCCTGTTTCATTTTCCCATATTACCCCTCTGCATATCTCACCTAAGTCCAATCATGCCTGCTGTTGTCATTCACCTGCTATTGTCATATGCCTGCTAATGTCATTCGGCATCTGAAATCACTCTCTTTCTAGCTTTACCTGAAGAAGTGAGCAGTGATTCACAAAGCTCATACCCTGCCACATATTGTATTAGTCTTTAAGGTGCTACTGGACTGTTGCTCTTTTCTACATTTAATCTACAGTCGATGGTCTGGTACCTTTTACTGCTGACAGAGTATTGGTTGAAGTGCAGAACTGCCACACAGAAACACTGTCAATAAATAGTCTTCTGAGGAAGCTAGTTAAAGCTTTGCAGTCTTGAAGACAGCAGACCTTGAATGGGCAAAAGGACCATTGTCCTGGATACTCCCCAGACCAGCAAACGTTAGTAACCTGGGGGGGGGGGGGCTGCCCTGGTAGCCAGTTCCTGAAGGTGGCACCAGAGATTCAGTTTCGGAGTGTTCTCTTCTAGAGGCCATTTTCTTGGAGGCTAAGTTGGATTTGTGGGAAGGAATTTGGCAATGGCTTCCTGGCTGTGTGGTAAAGTGCACCTGAAGTTATTCGTACCGTACCATTGAAGGAACACAAAATGATTCTTTGCTCTGCAGAATCCGCAGTGTTCAGTTAGAGAACCAGGAAAGAAGGATGGCAAGCTTGGGGCGGGGGGGGAGTTCCATACTTTGGTGGGAAGAGTAATAATCACAGCAAG